AGCCCAGTGGAGGTGGATTTGGGTAGAGAACGTGGATTTCCCCAGAACATGATTGTAGACGGCTGGTGTGAGTTCGGGAATAAAGAGTTGCTGTTTGAATCTACAAGCTGTGTGGTGGCTCGTGATTTTGTGCCCAGCCAGACTGCGGCAATTATTATTTTTTTTATTTTTATGTGGTGCTGAGAATCGAACCCAGGGCCTCAGGCATGCCAGGCGAGTATGCTACCACTTGAGCCACATCCCCAGCCCCTTGTTAACCAGTTTTATTGCCTTTTTGCAAGTTATGTCCTTTGCCTAATACATGCATGTATTAGGATGTTAGTAATTTTTTCCCAGTGTGTATGAGTTCCTTATATAATAAATGCATCATTCTTTGTCAGAAAAAGAGAAAAGGAGAGAGAGAGAAACAGAGAGAGAGAGAGAGAGGGAGGGAGGGAGGGAGGGAGGAAGGCAAAAGGAAGGAGGGAAGGGAGAGAGAGAGAGGCAGATGGCTCTGGGAGAGGGAAGCGTGGAAATCCTACTTGCCTAGTGACAGGGCTCCAAGGAAGGAACGGGATTTCAAAGGGGACTTCTGGGCTTTGTATCTGGAGAGGGGAGTGGACCCCAGGAACTAGAGACTCTCTGCCCCCAAACTCAGAAGGAAAGTCTGCCACTCACATGGGGCCAGAGGCAGGAGCTAGTGGGTTTCAGGGCCCCATTCTATGGGCTGGCCTGGGATGGCAGTCAGCAGTCCCAGATGCCACAGGAGAGAGGCCAGCCTGTTTCTGGCACCAGATTCTGCGTCTGCATTCTGAGTGGTTTGTGGGATCCCAGGGAGCCTGAGTGATAGCAGAGATTGGATTTCCTTCTAGTCTGACACTATCAGGCCAATTTAATTAGATTTTTAAAAAATGAGAGTAGACATTTTTGTGTGCATATGAGCTTAAGTTCTTAGAGATATACCTTCTACATTTTCTTATTAAAAAATCCATCAACCTAAAAAAAAAAGCTACGGAGATAATTTATGCTCTCTTCTTAATTTCATTCCCTTGGTTCTATACATCATAGTATGAATTTACAGCATCATTGAACAACATAGTGCAAGAAGTGGCTTTATTATATTATATGTTAAAAATAATGCAAAATCTTGCTGGGCGTGGTGATGCACACCTGTAATTCCAGAGGCTTGAGAGGCTGAGGCAGGAAGATTGCGAGTTCAAAGCCAGCCTCAGCAACAGTGAGGCACTGAGCAACTCAGTGAGACCCTGACTCTAAGTAAAATACACAATAGGGCTGGGGATGTGGCTCAGTGGAAAAGTGCCACTGGGTTCAATCCCTGGTACCTTCCCGCATTCCAAAAACAAACAAATAAAAACAAACAAACAAACAAACAACAACAACAAAACAAAAACAAAAAGTAAAATCTCACTCACTTCCTTTCCTTCAGGAGAAAATTCTGTCTTAACAACCCCCCTTTCCCTATACCCTGTTTCTTGTTGGAATCACATAGAACCCCCAAGTTCACCCAACCTTGGAACCTTGGGGAATGGTCTGGATTTCAGGCAGGTGGGGTCATTGTGAGGAGCTCAATGTTCAAATTTCAGTGATCTCAACTCTTCTGGACCTGAAGTTGAGGCTCAGAGCTCAGCCCCCAGCCAAGTGTCCTCCTCTCACCCTAGGGTCTGTAACAGGGAGTCAAACTGGGGATTGAGCCCAGGGGCATTTTACTACTGAGCCACATTCCCAACCCTTTTTATTTTTTTATGTCAAGATAGGGTCTCACTAAATTGCTGAGGCTGACTTTGAACTCAAGATCCTCCTGCCTCAGCCTCCCAAGGCGCTGGGATTACAGGCATGCAACCCTGCACTTGCTGTAGGGGGCTGGGAACCATTCCCTTCTCCCTCAGTTTTTAAAATCAGAACTTCCTACTCACTCACATGTCAAGATCTCTGCTTTCATGAACCAAGATTTTCTCAAGTGGGGAAAGAAGGGGTAATCCTCTTAAACCTGCAAAGAAAAGGCCTGTCATGCTTTGGTGGTGAATCAGTTGGACAAGCAGGGAAACCAGCCCCAAAGCGGAATGAGGCAATTCTGACAATAAATCACACTGCTGTAAACAAAGTCCTCCTGATTTGACTGCGACTCAGCTTCCAGGGGCATTTCTCAGCGTTGTTTCCCGTGGGTGTGATACTTTCACTTCCTCAATATCTTTTCTTCCCTTCTCCACCTGCTTATCCCTCAAGGTCATTCAGAAAGGCGTCAGGGCTCTAGGCTGGCTACCTGTAGTTGTCTTGGCCTTTCTTTTGTGGTGTAAGTGGGCATCCCCCCCCCCAGGAGGGTTCCAGGAAGCTTGTCTCTTTCACAGCAGGTAAAACATTTCCTGGAAACCCCCAGCAGCCTTCCCCTCATGGTGTTGAACTGGGTCACATGGCCACTCAGCCACAGGGGAGGCTGGAAAAGCAAATTCCTGGCAAAGCTGAATGGGATTGCCAAAAACAGATTTAGACAAATGATTTAGGCCCAGGCTGGGAACAGAGTGGCCTCCCCTGCCAAAAAAAAAAAAAAAATGAGCCCTCTTCACATGAAAGAAGAAAATGACTAACAAAGTCCACCCTAGAGATCTTGTTCCATTTATTATCTCCTCTTGAACAGGGCAGAGGCTACTTGTCCCTCATTCCACAGAAATAGTGTTTAGATAAACGCTTGATTGGCCTTAAAGTTGACATTTCCCAGCCTTCTTTGCAGCCCAGTGCAGCCATATGACCAGTTTCTGAGAATGGATTGAAAGAGGAAGAAACAAAGCTGACCATCTAGTATTAAGGATAAAGGTCATGTCCTCTCTTGTCCTCATTCCAGTGGTTGAAATGTGGATGTGTGGAGGCAGGGCATCTGGACCAACTTGACCATTTCAGACCTTCATGTCCTTATGTGACGGAGTAACAGAGAAGGAGCTGAGGCCCCTGAAGGTTTTGCGGCACAGGACAGCCACCCCAGCTCAGGCTTTCCCAGGAGAGGGACCAACTGTAATCTCCTGTCATGTTTCCAGCACTATTATTTTGCAGCAACACTTGTATCTGAACAGATCCAATTGCCTCCAATCCCATCTCTCCCCAGTCTCTCCCTGGGCCCTGGGTTCTCTCTCATTCACCTTCAGTCTTTCTCTGTGTTAGTCAGGGCAACAGATTCAACTCTTGGCTGATTTAAGTAGAAAAAGCAGTTTATAAACCAGTGGGGAAGGTTGTAGAGTCATCAGAATCAACCTCTATTGCCACAATAATGTCACATAAACAATCATCAACCTCAGCCGCATGTAACAGATGATCATGTCTTTTGTTCACAAGTCTGTGGAGTTCGGCTTCTTCGGGGCTGGGCTGATCTGGGCTGATCTCAGCTAGACTCATTTGAGTGTCTGGGATCAACTGCTGGTGGACCAGGCAGCTATTGATTTTGGCTGAGCTCATTCTTATGTCCCAGGCTGACTGGCTGTTGGCTGATCTAGGATGGCCTCTTCTGGGCTAACTCAGGGAGACTTGGCCTAGCTCCCTGTTTCTCTCATCATCCGGCAGGCGAGCCTAGACACGTTCTCACGGCAATGGCAGAGGGCAGCAGCGAGAGCAAGCCCAATTACACAAGTGCTTTTCAAGCCTCTGCTTGTACAATGTTTACTAGAATCCCATTGACCAGAGCAATCACTAGGGTGAGCCAGAAAGGGAAGGTCCAACGAGTTGAGGCCCTGCAGGGGAGAGCTGAGGCCGTTCCGCAACCAGTCTAGGGTGGGAGCCAACATCACACCGCCAAGCCAAGCCACTGAAGACGCTGCCACTGCCCCGACGGGCATTTGACTCCATAGTCACACCGAGAGTCCTTTTGGCACCAGACCCCGGGTGTTGTGCTGCCCTAACTGTTCTCCCAAACTGAATGCTGCTGTCACTCCTGGCACTGCCCATCCACAGGCAGACTCTTTCTGCTTCTGCTTCTTTGCATCACAAGCTCCTGCTGATTCCAAATGTAGAATGGGCATTTCTTTCTTTCTTTTTTTTTTTTTTTTGGTACCAGGGATTGAACCTAGAGGCACTTAACCACTGAGCCACTTCCCCAGACCTTTTTTATACTTTATTTAGAGACAAGTTCTGGCTAAGTTGCTAAATTGCTAAGGCTAGCTTTGAACTTGCAGTCCTCCTGCCTCAGCCTCCCAAGCCTCTGGGATTACAGATGTGAGCCACTGTGCTCAGCTGGGCACATTTTATTAATAGAGTCCGTGACTTAGCTTTCACAGGAAGGGTGGGAAAGTGAGTAGCTGGTATTTTTGGCAGCAATACCAAGAAGTGAGTTCTGCTTCTCACATCGTCATAAGACAGGAACCTCTCCATATAGAGGAAAGGGGGTTACCCCACTGGAGCTCAAAAACCAAATCAGAACAACAATCATGGTGATGATGGTGATGGGGAGGAGGAGGAGGAGGAGAAGGAGGAGGAGAGGGAGGAGAGGGAGATCCTCCAGTCACTCATTCTCTTCACAGTCGAGCTCTTTTTTTTTTTTGCAGTACTTGTGATTGAACCCAGGGGTGCTCTACCACTGAGCTGTAGCACCTCCCCAGCCCTTTTTATTTTTATTTATTTATGTATTTTTGGTACCAGGGATTGAACCCAGGGTGCTTAACCACTGAGCCACATCCCCAGCCTTTTTTTATATTTTATTTTGAGACAGGGTCTCACTGAGTTGCTGAGGCTGGCTTTGAACCTGCGATCCTCTTGCCTTAGCCTTCCAAGCCACTGGGATTGCAGGTGTGCACCACTACACCTGGCTGAGAAGCTTGGTCTTTGTAAAGCAGTGGGACAGGTGATATAAGCAGAGGTGCATGCCATACAGTGATGTGTAAAGGAACTCTTGAGAAACACATGCCTCAGCATTCCCCCACCTATCTTAGTGCATTTTCTGTTGCTAGAGCAAAATATCTGAAGTTGGGTACTTTATACAGAAAAGAGGTTTCTTTTTCTTTTCTTTTCTTTCTTTCTTTCTTTTTAATATGAAACGCTTCAGGAATTTGCATGTCAGCCTTGCGCAGGGGCCATGCTAATATCTGTATCATTCCAATTTTAGTATATGTGATGCCAAAGAGAGCACCAGAAAAGATGTTTCTTAAGCTCACAGGTCTGGGGTTTCAAGAGCATGGCACCAGCATCTGCTCAGCTCTGATGAGGATTCAAGATAGATAGCATCACGGTGGCGGGAGCGCGTGCGGGAGTGGTGAGCAGAGCGCCAAGAAGGAGGTTGCCCGGGAGGTGCCGCGCTCCATTCTATCATCCTATTCTCCTGGGAACCAGCCCAGGCTCATGACAACTGCATTAATTCCCTCCAAGGGCCGTGCCCCTGTGACCTAATTACTTCTGCTAAGCTCCACATCTCAATGGTCCACCACCCCAACACCCCACACTGGGGACCACGCTTCCAGGACATGAGCCTTTGGGGACACACTGAAACCCTGTCCTAACCATAGCACCACCCGGGTGTTTACACACCAGCTTCTGAGGGTCATTGTCTGCGGGCAACTCCAGGGAGGAATGAGCTCCTAGGCATTTCCAGGGTGCCCTGAGCACGGGTAGGATAGTTTTCTTGGGAGCTGGGTGCGAGCCTTTGGGAAAAAACAATGTCCTGAGCACACGGAGAGGCTGAGGATGTGGACGAGGCCCCGACAGCACCGCCTACCTGGCTTCTCAGGTGGAACGTCTCGTGAACCTTTAGAGTTCTGGGTGCTTTTCATCCTCTGCCCAGATGCTTTTCTCTCCCTCTCTCCCTGGTAAACTCCTAATCACCCTTCAATACCTTTTGCAGCTTGCGGAGAGGAAGCTGTTTCCCAAGGATACAGCACACACCCATTTGCATTACTTGTCACACTGCTTTACCTTCCAGCAGGACATCCCTACTGGATTGTGCCCTTGTAGAAGGTGAAGACGGTTTGCTCACAGCCTACCATATAGTTTGGTGCCTGGGATACAGAAGATGCTCAATAAAATCTAGGGGGATGGGAGAATTAACAACTTCTTGCTACAGAGTATGGCACTTATCTAAGGCAGCACTGCATTAATCTGAGGCAACATTATACCAGCTTTTGTGTCCTTCTCACCTCTATGGCATTCCTCTTCCTTCATTCACCCAACGCCCTCCTCTTTCTCCCTACTGTAATATCTCAATCTGCTGCTAGATACTTCTCTTATCTCAAAGGAGCACAAGAAATAGGAAACCTGGTGTGATGTTCATCTTTGCCACTGACCAGCTTGGGGGACTCAGTCTCCTCATCTGTAAAATGAACTTGAATGTCTGTGTTCATTATCTATCTATCATCCATCCATCTATCTATCTATCTATCTATCTATCTATCTATCTATCTATCATCTATCTATCTATCTTGCTTTTTGTTGAACTAGGAATCAAACCCAGGGGTACTTTTAACACTGAGCTATACCAACAACTCTTGTTCATTTTTTATTTTGAGGCAGGGTCTCCCTAAGTTGCCCAGCCTCGCCTCAAACTTGTTAACCTCCTGCCTCAGCCTTCAGAGTAACTGGGATTACAGGCCTCCACCACCACACCCAGCCTCTCTGTCAATTATTAAGGAGCTCTGAAGGAACATTTCTAGAAGGATGACACACAGAGAACTGGCAGCAGTGTTTGCCTCTGGGAAGGAGAAATTGGTGGCTATGGGCCAAGAATATGCGGCAGACAGACTTTCCCTTAATGTCCTGCATTGTTTCCAACTACCGCAAATGCAGTGGCATAAAAAACAAACAAACAAACAACAACAACAACAAAAAACAGAAATGTATTCTCTCGCAGTTCTGGAGACCACAGGTCCAAAATCTAGGTGTCAGTAGGCCACACTCTCTCCAAATGTTCAGGCGGGAAAGCTTCCTTGCTTATGCTGGGTTCTGTGGCTCTAGGAATACCCTGGCTTGTGACCACAGGACTCCAGTTCCTGCCACCAGGGCCACATTGCTCCATGCTTTCAGTCTGAATCTTCTTTTCTATAAGGACACTCACTGTCTTTGGATTTAGGGCACAAGTAACCCAGGATGATCTCGCCTCAAAAATCTCAATCATATCTGTAAGACCTTTTTGCAAATAAAGTAACATTCACAGGGTCTGGCGATTTGGATGTAAACATAGCTTTTGGGGCCACTGTTTAACCCACTGTGTACCTATTTGTATTTTTTTTAACTTTTTAAAATTGATTCTTTTTAATTATACGTGACAGTAGAATGTATTTTGACATATCATATGTACATGGAGTGTAACTTCCCATTCTTGTGGTTGTACACGATGTGGAGTTACACTGGTCGAGTATTCATATATGAACATAGGAAAATTACGTCCCATTTATTCTACTGTTTTTCCCATTCCCATCCTCCCACCCATCCCCCTACTCCACTCTGTCCAATTCGGTGAACCCCCAATCCTCTCCCACCCCCCTACCCCACCTATTTTTTATTTTTAATTTGTTCTGATTAGTTAAACATGACAGTAGAATGCATTCTGACACATTGTACACAGATGGAGCACAACGTCTCCTTCCTCTGGCTGTAGATGGTGCGTTCACACTGACAGTGTGATCATTCATGTATGTAGGGTAATAATGTCTGCCTCAGTCTTTCGTCCTTCCCATCTCCACTACCCCACCCCTCCCCTCACACCCCCATTTGTATGTCTTGAATTTGTGCCATACAAATGATGAAAGAAAGATTCACGTGCGACTAAATAGAGATTAAGATTTCAACTTTTCTACTTCTGTTCAACCCAATTTTGTTCTTTTCCAAGGATCTGACTTTGATTCACCTTTTCTCTGCTTATTTTAATTTACCATTGGAGCCATGTTATAGGACACGAAAATGGAACTCTCGTACCATGTGGGTGGACTTGGAAAGGAAAACAGACAATTCAAAAAGCACCTGGGCAGTAAATTGCAGAATTAAACATACGCCTATATAGTAAACCAGCAGTTCCACTCCTTTCATATCCTAGAGAAATCCTTCCACTTGTTCTGTTCTCTAGGAAGAATGGATAAGAATGTTCATAGACATAGAGTTCATTGTGGCATCAAGTGTGAAACCACCAAATGTCTGTCGATAGTAGTACAGATACAATGTAACATTTTAAAAGAGTATTATACAGCAGTGAAAAATGAGTTACCCTAGCTATGGTATGGGTAAAACTCAAAACCATGCTATTATCTAAAAGAAGGAAGCAACATAATAGCTACAGTGCAATATTATTAAAATAAGCAATATATTATATAAGGGTGCAAACATGGGAATGTGGAAAGCATAAAGAAAAAATAAAGGAATAATTAATACAAAATTTGACACAGTGTTTATATCTGATAGTGGAAATAAAGGAGCCATAGGAAGGGATTCCCACCAGGATGTCCTAGTAGTATGGGGAATGGGTACACAAATGTAAAAGTTATAACTGGGCACAGTGGCAAACACCATAATTCCAGTGGCTTGGGAGGCTAAGGAAGGAGGATTGCAAGTCTGAGGCCAGCCTCAGCAATTTAGCAAGGCCCTAAGCAACTTAGTGAGACCCTGTCTCAAAATAAAAAAATGAAAAATAAAAAGGACCAAGAATGTAACTCCACAATAAAGCACCCCTGGATTCAATCCCCAGTACCAAAACAAAACAAAAGTTATTTGTCAAACTGCATACTAGTTTTATATACTCGTGTGTGTGTGTATGATGTATTTAACAGCCCATGAGAAAATTCCACTATAGGTGAGGATATGGATCAATAGAAATTTACACTCACTGCTGTGAGGATGAATATAAATTGAAAAAAACATTTTAGAAAATATTTTGCAATATCTAGTAAAGTGGAATCTGTGCACATTTTATTAGGCATTCCTAGGTGTATTCAATCTGTGCTTTTCAAAAGTTCTCAGCACAGCCTTTTATTAACAATGCAGGGCTGGGCACAATGGTGCACTCCTGTAATACCAATGGCTTAGGAGACTGAGATAGGAGGATCACAAGTTCAAAGCCAGCCTCAGTAACTTACTGAGGCCTAAGCAACTAAGTGACACCCTGTCTCTAATAAAGAATATTTTAAAAAGGGCTGGGGATGTGGCTCAGTGGTTAAGCATCTCTGGGTTCAATTCCTGGTACCAAAAAAAAAAAAAAAGTGCATTTACATGACCTCCAAGCACATTATCGGATGAGATTGGGAGCGTTCAGGGTGATATGACCATAGACGCTGAGCACATTACCTATCTATCTATCTATCTACCTACCTACCTATCTACCTTAAGCACATACACACATACAGGTGTGAAAAAGCTGAAACAAAAACTTTGCAAAAACAACTCTTTCCCATAATAAATACAGCATACTCTGATTTTTCTATTCCTGTCTGTTTTATTTCATTAAAGGCCTCAATTTTTAAGTTTATTTCAAGTCATTAATAGTTGATGCTACAGTTTGAATGTTTATGTCCCCTCAAAATTCATGTGTTGACAATCTGGAAAGCAGTATGGAGATTCCTAGGAAAACTTGGAATGGAACTACCATTTGACCCAGCTATCCCACTCCTCAGTATATACCCAAAGGACTTTAAAACAGCATACTATAGGGATACAGCCTCATCAATGTTTATAACAGCACAATTCACAATAGCTAAATTGTGGAACCAACCTAGATGCCTTTCAATAGATGAATGGATAAAGAAACTTTCGTATATATACACAATGGAATATTACTCAGCATTAAAAGAGAATATGGGCTGGGGTTGTGGCTCAGTGGTAGAGCACTCACCTAGCACGGTGAGGCACTGGGTTCGATCCTCAGCAACACATAAAAACGAAATAAAGAGGGCTGGGGATGTGGCTCAAGCGGTAGCATGCTCCGCTGGCACGCGTGCGGCCCGGGTTTGATCCTCAGCAGCACATACAAAGATGTTGTGTCGGCCGAAAACTAAAAAAATAAATATTAAAAAAAATTCTCTCTCTCTCTCTCTTTTAAAAAAATGAAATAAAGATATTATGTGTCCATCTACAATTAAAAAAATATTTTAAAAAAGAAATAAAATTATGGTCTTTGCAGGGAAATGGATGGAGTTGGAAAATATTATGCTTATT